GTGTGTATGCGTGTGTGTGTGTGTTTTGTGGGGGTTTTTGTTTGTTTTGTTTTTAATTCTGAGACAGGGTCCAGTTAAGTTGCTAAGTTGCCAGGCTGGGCTCTGGGCTCAAACTTGTGATCTTCCTGCCTCAGCTTCCCAAGGTGCTGGATTACAGAGGTGTGCCACCATTCCGACCACTCCTGGTAATTCTTTAAATGTTTGGGAATATTCACCAATGAAACCATCTCCTCTTGGACTTCTTGTTCACATGTTTTTGTTACTTATTCAGTCCTCTCCCTTGTTACAGAGATATTTAGATTTTGTATTTCTCAATTTTTGTAGTTTGTATGTTTCTAGGAATTTGTCCATTTCATCTAAGTTGTCTAATTTGGGGGCATAAAATTACTCATAGAACTCTCTTATAATCACTTCAGTTTCTGAAGGTCAATAACAATGTCCTCACTTTTACTCCTGTTTTTGTTTTTTTTACTACTGATTTTAGTTATTTGAATTTTCTCTTTCTTATTCTAGCTAAATGTTTGCCAATTTTGTTAATCTTTTCAAAGAACTAAAGTTTGCTTTTATTGATTCTATTCTTTTGACATTCTTTATTTCTTTTAGTTACATTCTAACTTCTATTATTTCCTTCCTTTAGCTAGCTTTGGGTTTAGTTTACTCTTTTTGGTACTGGGGATCGAACTCAGGAGCTTGTGAGGCAGGCGGTGGTACCACTGAGCCAAATCCCAGCCCCTAGTTTACTCTTTCTCTAGTTCTTTAAGTTAGAAAGTTAGGTTATTGATTTAAATTCTTTCTTCTAGCCAGGTGTGGCAGAGCATGCTTATAATTCCAGCACTTGGTGGGGCTGAGGTAGGAGGACAACTGCAAGTTCAAGGACAGCCTGGGCTACATAGCATGACCTTGTCTCAAAAAGTCAAAGGAAAAGAAAAAAAAAGGGCCGGAGATTTAGCTCAGTGGGGCCACCTCCTGCCTCGCAAGCACAAGGTCCCGAGTTCAATCTCCAGTACAGGGAAAAAAAAAAAAATGTCTGTCTTTTTTTTTAATGTACGTGTTTACAGCTATTAATCTTTTTGATCACTGATTTGGCTGCATCCCATTTCTGGTATATTGTTTTTTGTGTTTTTTTTTTTTGGGGGGTACCAGGGATCGAACTTGGGACCTTGCGCTTGCGAGGCAGGCACTGGAACCACTGAGCTAAATCCCCGGCCCCGGTATATTGTATTTTAATATTCATTCATCTCAAAGCACATTCTCATTTCCTTTGAGATTTTTTTCTTTGATCCATTGGTTATTTAAGAATAAGTTGTTTAATTTCCATATATTTGTGGATTTTCCAGTTTTCCTTCAAGATTTCTAGCATTTTTACACTATGGTTGATGAAAATACTTTGTATAATTTCAAGTTTATTGAGTTTTTTTGTGACTTAACATACAATCTCACCTGGTGAATAGTTCACATGCACTTGAGAAGAATCTATATTTTGTTGTTCTGTGTTCTGTTGTTATTGGGGGAAATCTTCTATATGTGTATGTCAGGACTAGTTTGCTTCATAGTATTGTTCAAGTCCTTCACTGATTACCTATGTAACTGTTCAGTCCATTACTAAAAAACAGTTATTGAAATATTCTAAGATTGTAGAATTCTCTTCAACTTGATCATCAATGATTGCTTCTTACATCTTTTTTTTCCCCTTTGGTTTTATGAGGCAGGGTCTCCCTTTGTACTTCAGGCTGGCACTGAACTCACTATGTAGCCAAAGCTGGCATCAATACTTCCTACATCTTAAGACTCCGTTATACATCTTCTTGAGGAATCATCCTCTTTATCAGTATATAATGAATGCTACAAAAGTGCTCCCCCACTGAGTACATCTCCAGCCTAGCTGCTTTTTTACTTTTTTATAATGTTAAATATTTATTCAAGACAATATGTTGAGAACATTTACAAATAGTCTTGTATAGGACTCGCAACTATTTTAAACGTAGGGTGCCAATTCATAGTCCATATGGAAAAAGGTGATCTTTAAAGCTACTGTCTGAACTTTATGCAAGAGAATTTTGTTTTAACAAATACTTAAGTGTCCTTAACATATATTTTTAGTATTCTCAGAATAGAGAAAAGATGCAGTTTGTTTTGTAAGGTTTTTTGCTGTTGTTTTTTTTTATGTACTGAAGATTAAACCCAGGGCCTTGAACATGCTAAGCAAGTGCTATACCACTGAGCTACATCCTAAGCTAGAGTCTGCTTTATCTTAATAAGGGTCTCAAGAATTCCTGTTTTTCATCTAGATAATGTACTGACTTCATAGTTTATGGCTAAGAAACATAATGGCAAAAAAAGGTTTCAAAATACCTGTCAGTATTTTTGTTTTCAATTAAATTCTCCCCAGATGTTTTTCTGAACTTCAATTATTCCTTATTCTACCTGATTATTCCTTATTCTACTTGATAACATTTTTCATGTTCAACACCATTACTGTTTATTCCCCTTAAACATTTCAAATAAATAGGGAGGGCCAGGGATTTAGCTCAGTAGTTCCGCCGCCTGCCTCACAAGCACAAGGACCCAAGTTCGATCCCCGGTACCCCCCAAAAAAAAAATAGGGGTAGGGCTGGGGAATTAGCTCAGTGGTTCCACTGCCTGCCTCACAAGTGCAAGGTCCTGAGTTTGATTCCCAGTACCAAAATAAAAAATAAAAAATAAAAAATAAAAAAATAAATAGGGGTAAGGGTGTAGCTCATCCATAGAGTATGTGTTTACCGTTTCTGAGGCCTGGCTTAGCTGCTTCTTAATTCAGTATTTTCCTTCTTGTTATGTCCCTCTAACTTTTTCCAGAGTCCTGAAAAAGCTGATTCTGACAGTTTTTGCTTGACGTTTTGGTGTTTCTATGGAGCAACAAGCCCTTGGAGCTATCTAATAATAATTTTTATACTTAGAAATCTGATCTAGCTGGGCATGATGATACATACCTGTAATCCCAGTACTATGGGAAGGCTGAGGCAGAAAAATTGCAAGTTTGAGCCAAGCCTGGGCAACTTAGCAATTTAAGGATACCTGTCTTGAAATATAATATAGACAAGGTCTGGTGATACAGCTCAGTGCAAAGACCCTGGGTTCAATCCCTAGTACAAAAAAAAAAAGAAAAGAAAGAAAGGAAAAAATGAATCTGATCCACACGGAGTCTATAGTGTGAAGTAAATTCAATTTTATTTTTATCAAATGGCTATTTAGTTGGATCTACTCTACTTTTCTTTTTTTTGGTACCAGGGATCAAACTTGGGACCCTGCACTTAGAAGGCAGGTGGTGGCACCACTGAGCTAAATCCCCAGCCCCTTCTACTTTTCATTTTATCCAACACTGAGGTTTAAATTTTCCAGCACTGAACTATACTCCTAGCCCTTTTAAAAAATTTTTATTTTAAGCAAAGGGGAAGGGGAAGTGGGAGGGGTAGGGGAAAGGAAAGAAGGGAATGGAATTAATATGAGAAAATGAAAAAAAGGAAACAAAGTCTTTGTAAAGAGGGAGAGATGGAGGGGTTGAAGAGAGGGCAGGGGAAGGGGGAAAAATAAGAACCAAGAGAGACTGTGTAAAGGTGCAAATTTCCAATGATGAATGTTATTATATTGTACACCTAAAATGTACCAATAAAATAATATACAAAAATTTTTATTTTGAGACAGGGTCTCACTAAGTTGTCCAGGCTAGCCTCAAACTTGTGACTCTCCTGGCTCAGCTTCCCAAGTATCTGGGATTACAGGCATACGCCACCATACATGGCTTTACCCTACTTTTTAAAAAGACATCTTTCACCCAGTATTTTATTTTATTTTATTTTTTTATTTTTGTGGTACTGGGGATCAAACTTGGGACCTTGCACTTGCGAGGCAGGCGCTGGAACTACTGAGCTAAATCCCTGGCCCTTAAAATGATAATTTCATCTATTTCTAAATTTTCTGTTTTGTTTTCTTGGTCTCTCTGCTTATTCATGTGCCACCAATACCACTGTACCACTGTTGACATTGTAGACATTTTCTTTTTTCTTTTTCTTTTTTTTTTTCCAAATGTGGGACCTTGCACTTGAAAGGTAGGAGGCGGAACCACTGAGCTAAATCCCCGACCCATCTTTTTTCTTTTTCTGAAGACATTTTACTTTTTATTTTTTATTTTTTAATTGGTACTGGGGATCGAACTCAGGACCTTGCGCTTCCAAGGCAGGCACAAGGTCCTGAGTTCAATCCCTGAGACATTTTATAGAATAGTTTAAAATGGCAAAAAAAAAAAAAAAAGCTGGGTGTGGTGGTACACGCCTGTGATCTCCCACTCAGGAGGCTGAGGCAGAAGGATTGTCATGAGTTCAAAACCAGCCTTGGGTACATATTGAGTTTGAGGCCAGCCTGAACTACATAGGGAGACCCTGTCTCAAAAAACAAAAACAAGACAAACAAAAAGAATAGTTTAAAATGTGGAAAAGCTAATATCCTCTCATTGCTCTTCTTTTGAGGATTTTCTTTGCTAACCCTGCTTATTTGTTCTTCAATGAGAATTTCAGAATTAGCGTGTATTTTTAGTGGGATTATATTTTTTGGGGGGGATCATATTAAATATATAAACTACCTCAGAAAGGAGTGCTATTTCTTTTGAGACAGGATCTTGCTATGTAGTTTAGGAGCTGGCCTTGTGATCCTCCTGCCTCAGCCTCCCAGGTGCTGGGATTACAGGCCTGCACCACCACACCCAGCCTGACTGTACACTTTGAAGTCTATTTTTTTTTTTCATACGGAGGATGGAGGATCGAACTCAGGACCCTGTGCTTGCAAGGCAGGCGGCGGAACCACTGAGCCAACCCCCCTGGCCCAATAGGTTTTTCTGGGGTTTTTTTTGAAGCCTACTTTTGTATCTGTGTGGAATGCCTAACTATTTATTACTTTTTGCTAATTCATTGCTTTCTCAAGATCTAGGAATCATGAGAATGGAGGTAGAAATAGAGCATTCTCCATACCTGCAGATGCCTGTGCGTGGGCCTCTGTGTGGCGCTGGCAGACTCTACTCAAGAATTCACTCACTTGGTGCAAGGAAAGAGCATTATGCAGTGTTTCCAGGGGGTATATGGTAGGTACCATGGAGCACCCTTCAAATCCTGTTGGGAAAGAGATGGGCAAAGCCATGTTATTACTGCCAGATACACCCCAATTGGCCAAGGAAGCTGAGAGTCCCTGAGAGCCATCAGGACAGTCTGTGGCTTTTAGAGTGTAGGGTATCCAAGATCTCCAGGAGAGGGAACACTTTAGAGCTCCTAGGGAAGTCTATTTCTCTCAACTCTAGATTTCCTAAGATGTCTACCTATTAACGCCTCCAGGAGAATCAAATCACCTCTCATCCTGTCTACGGAGAGACTGCAATGCCCCATGGAAAAATCAACACATTCCCAGGGGGGTAAGCACTAACACTGCTCTGGTACTTTCTGGAAAATGGAACAAGGATCCAGAGGTAAGGAGTGATATTGTAGATCTAATATGAGGCAGGGTGGCCATGGAGCTGGGAGGGAACAGCAGGTTTCAGTTACCATGAACAAGAAAATCAGATTAAGGAGGAGGGCATGGAATCAGAGAAGAGATTCATGCAAGCTTACAATGTGGGGAGAAAGGCTGGAGTACTTGGATGCAGACTGAGAGCATGCAGTACACATGAGCTGAGCCAAGGAAAATCACATGCATGAACAGGGCGGGGACGGAAGTTCCTTCTTGGTCATTTCATTTTTTCCTCCTGCTCTACTTGCTAGAATCTCTCTACTCCATCAGGAAAATGAGGCAAATCCCCTTGCAAAAAGAAGAGTGATTCTCTGCTCTAGACTCAGTAATTCCAGTTTAGGATGACCAGTCCTGGTACGGTTAAAGGTAAATCTAAGTGTGTCCCTTACTCCCAGGGACCACTGATGGAAAAAATGTTCCCACTGGAGGGTCAAGAAACATGCACCCAACCACTGTTTCAGGCCCTGGTCTTCCCAGTTCCTCCTCTACATCTCCTTAAAGTAATTCCCATCCTGCTCACCACTGACTAACATCAGTAATTCAAAATGATTTTACCTGATCATCCTCTAACCTCTGGCCTTTGTTTGCCTCAAGAATTTAATTGGGGCTTCTGTGCCTCAGTTTCCCCCTGTAATCCAGTGGCAGGAGAGCAGAGGACTCTCTAGCTCCTCAGAATGGTTCCAAAAATGTTTAGATCAGAAGTGGTAGTAGTAAAGGATTAGAGAGATAAGAACAGGTTCCAGCACAAGAGGTTACTCTAGACTGACCACAACTGGGGAACATGTAACACTGGGGGCAGTGAGAAAGAAGAACAGGAGTGGGGCAAGCAGCCAATGCTACAGCTATGAGGCAGTCTGCCCTGATCCCATCCAAGCAACTAAATGCAAGTCACATAACCTTACAGCACACAGGAGAAAGGGCCAGATGGGCTCTCCTGCCAGAAGTGCAATAAGCAAAGCAATCAGTTCCAGCCAGGATAGTGGCAGCAGCCAGCCTGTGGTGGGGGGATACCGTAGAGGCACTCAGGATCATCCTGGCCTGAGTGGAGCCAGTTCCGGAAGAGGCGCAGGTGGTAGGAGCACTGGTGCAGATGATGTGCCAGTGCAGCATCCAAGGAGACCGGCCGGCACCCTGGGCAGTCAGAGGAAAAACCACGCAGCAACCGGACCACAGGGTGCTGGTCATCCAGCAGCTCTGGACAGGGCAGGGGGCCACAGTAGGAAGCACAAGGGTAAAGAAAGAGAAGAGGGAGAGACAATGAGGGGGCACTGACTGGCACAGCATTATTGGGGAGTAGGGGCCACGCAGATCCAAGGTGAGCTAAGAGAGAAGGCAAGATGGTCAGGGCTGCTGGGCATGTCTCACAGGCAAGAACAGTGTGGGTATCACAGGGTGAGTATACAAGAGGGATGAAGGAGAGGAGGGCTCATCACACCACAAGGTCCTGTGCTTCCTCCTGGAACATAACTCAGGCAGAGCTGGCAGAGAGCACCCACAGTCTCTGGACAGGGACGAGCTAGCGGTTCCATGCTGAGGAGCTAGACTGGGGCTCTACTGTCCCTGATCAGATAATTCTACAAACTAACTGGAGAATGGTATTTACAAGGTGGGGCACAGATGAAACAATTTAAAGTTACTTAGAGAAGAGGGTCAAGAATGGTATTGGGTATCCAGAGAAGTCTAAAGCTAAAAAGGCCCCTGAAAGCTCAGGCCAGGCCTCTGGGCCAGACACCGAGAGAACCCCAGACAGGGCTGGTGCCAGGCAGCTGGGACAGAGCACTAGCAGGAAACCAAGAGTAGGATTCCTTTAAAATAATTCATGTAAGCTGGGCATGGTGGTGCATGCTGGTAATCCCAGCTCTTGGGAGGCTGAGGCAGGAGGACTGCCATGAGTTCAAAGCCAGCCTGGGCTATACAGTGAGTTCAAGGCCAGCCTAAACTACATTGCAAGACTCTGTCTCAAAAACAAAAAAGAAAACAAACAAAAAACAATCCAAAAAACAGTGCACGTAGAAAATGAAGCACTGATTAATCACCTTTACCTTACTTTTGTTCTAATAAACATTTTTTAAAGTATGCAAAAAGCTCAGGACTTGGGAGACACTGTATCCTTTACAGAAGCCAAAGTTAGATGATTTTAGGTTGTCTTTCCACTGCTGATGAGTCTAAACACACTCTTTTCAGCTGGTGAGTAGAAAAGCTTTGATTCTAAGCCCCTCGTCATTTTGGCTGCTTGGCAAACTGTGGATGCATGGAATTGGCTGCAAAAGGCTGAAGGCAATAGAAGGCCTATGGTAGGAGGTATAAGGGGAACAACAGGAAAGGGTCTTGGGGAAAAGAAATGGAGTCCAAAGGCCTGATGTAAGGACAGGTAAGAGCTTGAGTACAGGATGCTGCCATAGAGAAGGTAGGATCAAGGCCACTGAGGATGACTACTCCAAACTCTCAGACCAGAACTGGGTCCACAGAGTGACCCCATGAGAATATGCTTTTTAGAGACCTTAGTCTAGATGTCAGGGGAGAATTCAGCTCTATCAAGGCTAGCATGGTAGGCACTAATTGTTCCAACAGTCACACAGTTGTATGAGTCCCTGGAAGATAACAGGCTTGACAAATCCATTAGGCACACTCTGACATTTGGGATGAGGGAGAACCACAGTCTCTTTTCCACTTTATTAATTTGTTTTGGTGAGTTCAGCATACAGTTTAGTAACAGGCCACACTTGTGTGCTGGATATTATCACAGGATAATAAGAAGCTTATCAGAAACAGAGGCAAGGATGGACTGAAGGTTGCTCTTTCATCAAAGAATGGAGGCAATATTGCCTTGCCTCCTTTCCAAAGCCAGGTACAATTTTCCCAGCTGCTATTTCCAAGCCAGGTATCATCCAAGGAGATGGTGGTGATGGGACAGTAGGGTGGCCCACTGCTGTGAATAATCTGCCACAAGCAACTGCAGACAGAGCACCCACTCTGTAATTACTGGGTCAAGTCAAGCAAGACCTTGGCCATAGGGTGGGGCACTCATATTGCCTTAAGGGACAGATTAAATCTAGATCATCTTCAGCAAGAGATATTAGCTCTAAATTTCTGCTGCTGTCAGCAGTGAGATCCCTGATTCTGGCTTCTCAAGCACGTCAGCCTCCAAGCTCAAGCACAAGGAAAACAAAGAAGGCCAGAAGACCTCTGAGGAAGTATGCAAAGTACTGAGGAGATCTTGAATTTGTTCTCCTGTATTATACCTGAATTGTCCAGATCTTTCTTCCTCTCCTCCTTATGGTAAAATTAATTCTTGTTTTCTTCAGCTGGTGAGTCTGACAATCAAGGCTTCAAGGAACTGGATATATGTAGGATCTGTCTTATGAACATGGGTCTTTTCCTATGGTTCCTAAGAAACTAGGAGATACATAATTTATCTCTAATGTCAAGGGCCTCAATTCCTGGTAATGGATTATGGACCCTATATTCAAGTCCCTGGCTTGGGACTGTGGGTCAGGTACATCAGGACTATTGCACAGGAAGGCCAGAAAGGCTTGAAGCTAAATGAGCTGGCGCAGTCATGTCGCTTTGAATGGAGACTTCTGACACAGGTACAAATGAAAGCCAGAGACTTTAGCCTGCTAAACTGAGAAAAATCTAGGCTTGTTAACCCCAGGAGAAATTCCAACAGTGCTAGTGGGGGACGTATGACCTGCTGGGTCTAAAGTCTCACACATGCACTGGCCAGGCAGCAGAAGGCGTCAACATAGGAACCCTTCCGGCAAAGAAACCAGGTGAATTTTATCTCCTTCAAATTGTCTTAGCTCTTAGAAGAAAACCGTATCTAACAAAAGTACATTTACCTTGAGGACAATATACAATGCAGAGAGAAAAGTAAGGGTAGTAAACATTCAACAGGGAGTGGGCCTTGGTTCTCCTGCCATACCCTACAGAAACTCCATAGCCCTTCAGTTTTGATTTACAAGATCATCAAACTCACCCCCTTAATGTGGGCAGACCCAGTTCTTCAATATTCATGTCTAATGTCCCTCAAGATCCTCAACAAACATCTCAACTCTTTACTTTCAGTTTCTCTGAGATGGCTCTGCCATAGATTGGCTGGAGCCACATGGAAACTAACTACATTTAAAACTCAAAGAGGATTTAAAACTCAAGGATGTAGCTCAGTGGGGCCGAGCCTGCCTTGCAAGCGCAAGGTCCTGAGTTTGATCCCCGGCACCAGAAAAAACAAAAATAAACCTCAAGGAACAGGGATTGGGGGGGGGGGCACACCTGTAATCCCTGCACTCGGGAGGCTGAGGCAGGAGGATTGCCATGAGTTAGAAGCCAGCCTGGGCTACATAATGAGTTCAAAGCCAGCCTGAACTACACAGAGAGACCCTGTCTCAAAAACAAAAACAAAAACACCTCAAGGTATAGGGCTGGGCATATATAAATGTCCCTGGGTTCAATTTCCAATACCAACAAAACAAAACAAAATAAAAATTCCCAAAACAAGAAGAAAAAAATCTGAAAGTTTAATCTTTTCTCCTTTACCTACTACTTCCTCCTCCTTTCTTTCTCTTTTATCCCACAGCAATGTGGGCTGTTTCCTAAGCCCAGGCACTAGGCTAGTAGTAACATAAAGCAGATGTCAGGAGCATGGGAGCCACACAAACCACACACAATGGCAGAGACAGGTGTATGGAGATGGGGATTATCCACTGCATTCCCTATAAGTAGGGGAATGAATGGGGATTGCAGCATTGCTCCAAAAGAGGAACAAACTGGTTATCTGCCCCATCAAATGAATTGGAGAAAAAAAATAGGAAGATGAAAATTATATAAGCCAGGAGTAGGGGGGAAAAAAAGAGAAGCCATGGGCCCAATCTAGGTAATACTATTCTCTAAGAAGAGGAGCTGCTATCACGCCTGTGCACAGCCTGGCAGTCAAATGGTAGGAAAGGGGCAGATTTAATCAATTTTGGGGTGGTAAGCTGATACAAAAGACACGATGGCCATGACAGTGATTAGGGAAGTTAGACCCTGGGCTGCACAGGGAGAGGTGAGCCAGGCTGCAGCCAGAGCTCAGACTGTCCTAAGGGAAAGGTCCCAGCAAGGACACTTGGTGAGGGGCTCCTTTAGAGAGCAGGGTGTCAGCACAGTGGGAGGAGTGGCAAAGTCAGTGTCAAAACTCAGCAGTTAAGTGTCTGGAAGTGACAATGGTGAGAAGGAATGATGTTGAGTCAAAAGCAAACGTACCGTTAGTCGGATGCTTTGCAAACGACACAGAAAATCGTTTTACGGCCGGGACAAACAAGAGCTCTGGGGAGAAAAGACATCATGGGGATTATACCCACCCTGTCCCCACCCTCTGCTTTGGAATTTGCCTGCAGCATACACTGTTCTTTAGTTAGTTGCATGGCCTGATCCCTTCCCACCCCTCAAACTTCTGACTGCCAGTCTTTTCCCTTGGTGCAGTCTCTCAGTAGTCTGTGTCATCTCCACTGTAGTAAGGCCCACACTCATTCCACCACTACATCCTCCTGCCGGTCATTTGTAAATAAAATCTGTGTGAAAACTTTCTTCCCTTCTCTCAGGCTCTTGCCATACCATTTTTTCTACCTTAGCTGAGCAACTTCCCCATTCCTAAACTTGATTTCCCAGACTTCAATCCAGGCTCCAAATCATTTTGATGACCACGAATCATCCTCTTGGTCCCCACCCCTACAGGCCAGAATCCAGGAAAGCATACAAACTGAGGCAGCAAGGCTGTATGTGGGAGATTATGAAGGGAGAAGCATAAATAAGTCATATTTTTATGGCGAGAGGGATGCAAATGGAAGGGTGCAAGGGGTCCTGGTTCTCCCATCTACTGTTGATGAAGAAAACTCATCGTGAGGCCATTGTCGGTACCATCTTAGGCATGAATGACTCGAACTATGTCCCTGGTAGGAGACAAGTGAAGAAAAGAGCTGCCCCCCAAAACCCACCCACATACCATCTCGGTGCTTCAGACTGGCAGGTGGCAGCTTTTTGCCATGGCTGCGGGCGTAGTCCTGAAGATTCGGGGCGCTGGAGGAGCCACCCAGCACTGTGGTGCTGAACAGCCCTGTGCACTGCGAGCCTGCAAAGCCAGGAGTGCATTAGTAGCCACGCAAAGCTGCACACAGAAGACCACACAATTCCACAGGACAACACTGAGATACACACAGCCATTCAGAGCCACTGCCACACGGCCAGTCCGTGTAACCACAAAATGTTCACTGCTGTCCATAGCCACACTGGGCAAGCAAGGTGGGAATTCTCCTCAAGATCTGCATGGCAGAGACAAGAGGCCACTGCAAATACAGGGTTAGTCATATTAAGGGATTCAAACTTACTGAAAGAGATAGACTGTGCTCCCCCGGGGGCTCCCAGAAATGCTAAAAGAATAGGTAGATCCCTCTAGATCTCCCTAGATTTAATTCAGTGCCTTTTACACTGGATAGGGGATTTGAGAAACCCAGAAATCTAGTCCATTGTAGGCTTAAAAAGGAAAAGCTTATTTTCTGCTCATTTGTTTGTTGACAGGGTCTAGCTTTGTAGTCCACACTGGCCTGAACTTGCAAATCCTCCTACCTCAGCTTCCCCAGTGCTGAGATTACAGGTGTGTACCACTCTGCCTGGCCTAGGAAAAAGCTTTGATTGAAGCTAGAGACTGAGTTTTGAGCACTCAGCTGCCACCATTCCAGTTCTACGTTCATCATTCAATATCCCTTCCCTTGAGGCCTTTTTACCTTTCCCAAGAATGAAAGTATGAGACATGTTGAATTTCTAAAGCTGGGAGGGACTCAGAGACCATCCAGTTCAACTTTCTCATATTAGAGATGAAGAAATGGAGATACAAAAGTCACAGAGTATTTAGGAGCTAAGGTGAACTAGAATCCAGGTCTCTATACTCTGGGGACCAACTGTCTTCAGTTGAAGAAGAAATACTTTTTTTTCTCCTGGAGGAAACAGCATAATTTCTGAAGTAAAGATGGACACAAACTAGAAGGCTTGTGAAAGGAAGCTGACTAAATGTGGAGCATGCCTGTCATGTGCTGACACCCTACTAAGAAGGAAAGCAGGAAACAACAAAAAAGCATGTTCTTCTACTCTTAAGTTTACTGTCTTATAAGCTCTATTAACAAAACCAGGCCGGGGATTTAGCTCAGTGGTTTTGCCGCCTGCTGTGCAAGCACATGACCTGAGCTCGATCCCGGGTACCAAAAAACAAAAAACAAAACAAAACAAAACAAAACCAGAGGCTCACATACACAAGTTCAAAGAAAGCAAAGAGAATTCTATTGCCAATCAGGAGTAAATGAAACTTGAAGAATCTCTGAAGAAAATAAGTCAGGTCAGTCACTGTCCCCAGGGTGTGTGTGATCTAGGGCAGGGCTGGAATTCCATGGTCCCTTCTACTTGAGGGCACTGTGGTCAGGAAGGGACAAGATCGACACCCAAGTTCTGGGGATTTGCCTCTCTACTTCCAAATCCATCTCAGCCAAGACTCTAGGTTTGGCTGGGGTCTTAACACTCATGGGGAGATGGACAGAGAGGATGCCAGTTCCCCTTGATCCCACAAAGCAAAGACCATGTTTCCAAGGGTCCCAGAGAAAACAGAAACCTCAGATGGTCAATGGTTTCTACCTTGAGATTCAGGACTTCTCTATTCAACAACTTCCCCTACCTTTCATGCTTACACAGGCTCTGGAAATGGGCTGCAGAGAGTAATATGGTTGCTAAATATATCTGCTTTTCTTCAGAGAAGCTAAAACTAGCTGGCTGTATCCCAGACCACCCCAGGCTTTGTCCTACATCTACTTCCTGTGCTGAGTCACTTTCTAGTGTGGTCATGCCAGCCCAGCTCTGCCCGGTCCTCAGACCATCTCAGAGGGCGATCTCTACCTTACCACTACCATCTGTCAGCCAGGTGTGTGTCCGTATCATTCTGCTCCCTTCCCCTTCCCCTTCCCTTCCCTTCCCTCTTCCTCTTCCCCTTCATCTGTCTTTCTTTCCTTCCTTCTTTCTCTCTTTTTCTTCTTTCTCTTTCTCTTTCTTTTTCTTTTCTTTTCATGGGCTAGGGATGTAGCTCAGTGGTTCCAGTGCCTGCCTAAGGTCCCAAGTTCAATCCCCGGTACCAAAAAACCCCCCAAAACCTGAATATTAACACAAGATCTCACTACACTGCCCAGGCTGTCCTCAAATTGTTGGGCTCAAGCATCCTCCTGTCTCAGATTCCCAAGTAGCTGAGACTACAGGTACACAGCATTGTCTTGCTTTTTATGTTTTATTCCTTTTGTTTTGTTGTTTTTTGTTTTTGTTTTTTTGAGACAGGAGCTTGCTATATACTTCAGGCTGGCCTTAAACTCACTATGTAGCCCAGGCTGGCCTCTAACTCGTGGCAAGCTTCCTGCCTCAGCCTCCTGAGTGCTGGGACCACAGGTGTGCAGTGCCACACCCAGCCTCTGCTTTATTCTTTTTTTTTTTTTTTTGGTACTGGGGATCGAACTTGGGTCCTTGCGCTTGCGCAGCAGGCGGGCGAAACCACTGAGCTAAATCCCCGGCCCTTTTGCTTTATTCTTGATGTTACACTTTCCCTTAACTAGGCCAAACCTACCTATCCACTTTCTCAGTCTATCTGAAACCTATTCTTTACTGGGATTTTTGGAAAGAGAAGTGTATGTCACAGATTTACAGATTTATTATTTATTTCTTAGTCTCAAACCATCCTCCTTATTTCAGGGATCTAAAAGGCAACCTACTCTCATCAAATTAGTCTAGAATATTACCAAAGCCCTTCTCCCCCTTGCAAGTCCAAATGCTGACCACTTTTGGGTCAAGAAATTAGGTGCCCAGGAAAAGGTAATAGAAAAACACAAGGACCTAAATATAGAGAACAATAGGACAAAATAAAAAAAGAGCCCAGGGAACAAGTTCAGACCCTACACAGTCGTGTCTGACCTCCAGTTCCACAACACAGGGCACTGTGTTCAGAGACAGCCCCTCCCAGGGACCTCCTCCCTTCCCAAAGAATACAATACCCTCTGAAGCTCGGTCCTTCCTGTAGTCTGTGTTCTTAGAAAAGGTTGAATGATGTTCTCCATCCCTCTCCAGGGATCAAAAAATCAAGAGACATTCTCTCAAAGTCATGAGAAAAGTCTCTGCCACTACACCAGTCTCAGATTTGTCCCTCAATCTTCCGGAAGGAAAGGAAAAAAGTTACAGGATTAGGATAGGATGGAGGAGAGGGCATGGAGGTAGAAGGGCCAGAGCAGGGTAGTGAAAAACATGGGCTGCTTCAGAGGAAGACATGGCACAAGTTCTCCATATGAGAAATATGACAGTTATGGGTTCACAAGTACCTCTATTTATAGCTCTGTCACTGATAACTCTGAAGGTTCAGAGTCTCCGTGGCCCCTTATGGTTTGGGCTGGATGGGATGGACAGATAAAGAATGAGAAGGAAAGCTAGAAAAACGTCTTTCAAGCAGGGAAATAGGGGACCTTCCAGGGATGAAACAAACATCTGCAATCCAGGTTCACACACAACTATAGCTCTTCCCTTTTCTCCTCCCTCACCCTGCCTGACAGTTCTACAGACTGGATGGTCCCAACTCCCATGACGAAGATTTCCCTCAATAAAACTCAAAGAACAGACAGACAACCCTTTCCAACAACAGGTGAGAGACCCTACAAAGTCGTACCTAGGCCACTCTGCTTCATCTCTGTTGGTGGGCGAGAAGATGAAAAGAGCCGATAACCACCAGGCCTTGAGGAGGAAGTTTCAGAAAGCACCTGCACACAAAAAAACCCAGAACTCTGTTACCATTTTGCCACTCAACCCAGAAGTGTTAAACCCAAGTACTGAATTCTTGCCCCTACAGAACCAAGCAGTGTCAAAAAGTTTGGAAGAATCAAAGGATTTTTATGGGGGAAGAGAAATGGAAAGGGAGCCAACAGTATAGTTCACGGAGGGACTGTCCAGGGTACCCTTCTATAGGGGTTTTTTTTTTGGTACCGGGGATCAAACTTGGGACCTTGTGGTTTTGAGGCCCTCAGCGGAACCACTGAGCTACATCCCCGGCCCCACCTTCTATAGGACTCTACTAGAAGGAACTTCTGGTGCCAAGGGGCCTATGCTCGAAGGCTTCCCACCCCACATCTGAGAAGCCATTATTCAGCTATTCCTAGCTCTCAGTATAATGGGGTCCCCCAACCTTATCTGTCCCTCCCTTGGACTCAGTAAGCCAATCACAATGGCTCGGCCACAAGAGTGCGGTCACCCCTCTTCTCTCCGTGTGATAGTGGTGGTTACTGCAGTCATACGAGGCTCCCTATCTAAACCGAGAAGCCCGCCCTCTGATAGTTTCACTCCTGGACACATGAGCCAGCTTTCTTTAGATATCCACAAGGGTTAATTGCATAATCCTCAAATACACACATCCCACTTAGTGTTCTGCACCCTAAAAAGCAAAGATGGCAGGCAGGACAGGGAGGTGAGGCAGGGAGGGACACCTGTGTGCAGGATGCCAGGGGAGTGGTGGACAGAGCCTGGGGCTGCAGGCCGATGGCTGGGGAAGGCCGGGGGAGGTCTCCGGACCTCCTGCGGTGCCGCCCCCTCAAGGGGATCAGGTCCAGGCTCCCTGTGCACTGCATGTTCATGACCTGCAATCAGACCGGGTAGGAAGCCGGTCACAGCTCCTTTAACTCTCAGGTTCTCAAAGCCTCCGTGCCCAAGGGCAGAGCTAGATACAAGGCTGGAGAGGATACCAGCTAGGTCACAGCTGCTATGAAGGTTTTTGCAATCAAAAACAGTTCAAAACTAAGATGACAAGAGAACAAGAAACAATGAAGGGAAGAATGGCAGTGACAAAGATAAGAGAGGCTGATGCCCATAGAGCAAGGAGAGGAAATATTGTTATAAGGCTGTGTGACCAAGGGGCAGAGAGAGAAGATTTGCATGCAAGGCTGAGGAGCAAATCCTGGGCAGCGACCATCCTGGATGAGGCAGGGTGTAAGCAACACTAGCAACTGAAAGGAAGGAATGTGATTACAAAAGGAAGCCTCCTGAAAGAAGCTGATCTCATCAAGTCCTACAGAGCTCTCCTTTGCCTATGGGTCTTGTACTTAAACCAGAAGAAAATGAGGTCCAAGCATAAGAGCTCCAGGGAGACCAGTAGATCACAAACACAGGGAAGACATTTAGATGTGAAGATGCAGCTCACTGATGAAAGATGAGGTGTCATTCTGTCCATTTGATTAAGTTCACAGGGGCATGTAGGGCACTCAGAGGATGATGGATACCGAGTTATACCTACACCGAAGAGAGAAAACAATGCCTATCCCACCTAAAGAAACTAACCATTCACAATGTCAGTTCCACCTTCAAATAATCAGGAAGTCAAGGATGAGTCCAGAAATGAGACTGTAGTTTGTCTTCTCAGCTTTCTCTAAAATCTGAACTGTAAAACTCTGGCTGAACCTGTTAAAGTTAGTTACAGATTCTTTTCAGATATCCATAAAATGGAAAAACCAGTTCTTCTAAGACAGGGACATGGCACAGAGTGAGCTGAGCAGATTCTTGGGTAAGAGCAGTATCCAAGTCAGAGAGCGTTCCCTAGATAGGGGTAAGTCATGGCATCAGAAAAGTGTCACTGGGCCAAAGAGAGAAACAGTGTCTCCAGGAACAATACCAGAACAAAACCCCAAGATAGTTAGCTGGACAGGGTATGAGATTAGTAACAGTTCCTCCTTCTAGACAAACCTCATCAGGAGAGAAAGACAGATAGCTCTCCACACTGATCCTGTTTCTGAAACAGTATAGATGATCTAATGAGAGTAAAGCGTCAGGCATTTGCTCATTTCTATTGTAATTTTTTACCCAAAGCAACAAAGAGATGGAGCAGCCTTTAATATTACTTGTGCTCTTACTATAGTTACTGTTTAATGAATGTTATAAGGTAGACATGACCCACATTTTATACACGAAGGTATAGAGGTGGTGAGGGTTAGAGAAGTTAAAATCTCTATGTAAGTTCACATAACTTCTAAGTTGTGACTGGGATGTCAGCCCAGAATTCAGGCTGTTTCCACTATATTTCCTTTTATTTCATTACTATTACTATTTGGGAGGGGGCTTGAGACAGGGTCCTGCTATGTAGTTCAGGCTGGCACTGAACTCATGATGTAGCCCAGGCTGACTTAGGACTCATGGTGACTGCCTCAGCCTCCAGAGTGCTACGGTTACAAGCATGCGCCACCACGTCTGGCTTCTATTTCCTTTTAAATAACTGCCTTTTCAAATTCACCCAAAGTCCCTCTCAATTTCATTTCTTAAAACCCTTATCTCTAGGGAACCTCTCACTGGCAACTCTTTAATATAAGAAGTAGCAATCAGCTTAAAGACAGTTCTCCTGGGGACTAGCTGTGCGAGAGAGATTGAGCCAAACACATCAGGAAGGGCTGAGAGGACTCTGTTTGAGATCCAAGAGTCTCCTGAGGAGCTTCTGAGGATACAGGGGTACTGCGTCTCCACCTCTTTGTTTTCTTCCCAAGGCCCTCTCATTACCTCCATAGAGCCAGCTTTCCGGTTACGAATGAGAGGTGATCTCCTAGGGAGCCCAGGGCCCTCAGGCGGCTGAGGTGAAGTCTGCAGTGCCCGGTCCGGTTCATCTGAGCCCTTCCCCGGGCATAGGTTCTCCATGCTGCCTTGATCTGTTTTCCTCTCTTCATTCTGCTCAGTGATAGGCATGAATGGCTTCCGCCTCTCAGTCCCAACTTCCCAGGCCTCCAACCACCCTGTACTTGGGTGCTAAGCCCTCCAGTCTCAGGCCCCACCTGACCCACCTCAGAAGAGGCTGGACGGAACCCACAGCCAGTGGGGACGCTGCCTTCTTCCTCAACACCTTTCACGCCAGGGCTGAAGTGCAGCTCCACGTGGAACCGCTCCTCTGACAAGGGGTCCTAGAGGATGCCGCCAAGGAAGGGGCAGTTGAGAGAATCCCAGTATGGGAACCATCTTTCAGGCAGGGGCAAGGAACTCAAGAAGATGCATCTTCCCAGGGCTGAGGTTCAGGTCCTTCCCTACCCTTTGACTGCTGTCTGCTAGAGAGCCTCACTCCTTCATGTCCCACCATCTGTGATTCACCTCTCCACATGACTACAACTTTTCTCATCCATCTCTCGTAACTCATTTTGGAGCAGTGAATACAGCACATTAAAGGTATCTTTGTGGCATCAGAGGCAGAAGATGTATGTACAACCATGTCTGAGGGGAAAGAACCATATCAGTGTCCCACACCTCCTCCCTAATGCCAGAACTATGCCCTGGGATTAGCTCTGGGCTCGACATACTTCCTGTCCCAGCAGCAACCTCCTGGATGCTCTGTGTCATTCTGTGCATGGGTGCACACGTAGCTGGACTGCACAGATTCTAAGGATAAGAAAGCTTTCTTTTTTAAGGAAAATAGCAAGAGGGGCCTTCTCCTCAGCCCAGCTGTTTGCTCCTCACCTGTGTGTTGTCCTCATAAAGCATGATGACAATCTGGGTCATGTAGTTGAGCTCTGAGATGGCGCTCAGGTAAGCCAAAGCTCGCTGCCACTGTGTGTCCTGGGTCTCCTACCAAACACAGAAAGAGCCAAGCCCGCGCTTAGGACAGGAAGTGAGGGAACGAGCGGGGAACCAAGAACAACAGAAAAAGAAGGGAGAGTGAGAGAAGAATGCTGGGGAAGGATGTCACAAGCTGAAAGAGGAAGGAGGGTCCTTACATTGAGGAGCCCCCCATAACGGAAGACGCTGAGTAGGGAGTGGACGTGGCTTTCGCTGGTAAAATAGAGCCGTGTTCGAACGTGGCGGCCTGGGGAGAGCACCCCTCGAGAGTACCTGAGGGGACAGCTCTGTCACACACACCGGCGCCCTGCGGACTCCCATCCTCTCCCTCCCAGGAGCCCTCCTCCTGGGTTCCCAAGCCATCCTGGCCGTGAGGCCCCAGGGCTCCCGACACGGCCCTCCCTCCAGCCAGCGCCCCTCCCGGCCTCCCTCACAGGGGGTGCAGCTTGTTGACAGACTCATCCTCGTGGGTTCTCTGCAGGTCAAGCAGTATCTTCCGCAACAGTGGAAGACAGAAGCCGATGGCGATTTCCAGCTTCTCCTCCCGACTAATCCCGTATTCCTGAGAGGTCATGGGTCAGAGATAAGCTCCTCAATGAGTCTTGCTTTCCTCTGGCCTCACACTCCCAGCCAAGACCATGCCTGTTCACCTCGGCTCTGGGGCTTCTTTCCTGTGCACGTCCTCCCCCTTCCAGGGGTCTCCTCATTTAGCCTCCTGTTCTCACCCACAGCCATAGTGGACTCTGGGAATTGCAGCAACTCAACTAATTCCTTCTCTAAGTCTTCTTCCCCTGCTTCCCACATCATCTCCTTCCACCTTCTCTCCTTCCTTCCCCACACCCTCATCTGCAGGCCAGATGCCCATGTGACACACACCTGGGGAATGACCACATCCGCCAGTGCCTTTGAGAGACGAAGCAGCTCCGCTGTGCCCTGGAGGCCCAGTCTCCCATTGTGCTGCACATCATACTTGACACAGTCGTAGATGTCAGGGATCTTACTGATATCATAGCGCCCACTCTTCTGCCGAAAGTCACGCTCTAGCTTGCTCCAGCGCTGCAGCATGAGCTCTAGGGTCTCACTGTGGTAGAGCTGCAGGTCTTGGAGGAAGGCAGGAAGTCAAATAGAGCCAAACACTGACCTCCAACAAAAGAAGATGCTGACAACTCGAGCACAACCACAAGGGTAATATGCTTTGTCTCAGACAGTTAGGAAAAGACACAGGAGTACCTGAGAAATGCATCCAACCTGAGACCTTAAAAGGAAAACACTAGCATTTACTCTCACCTACAGACTTGGGATCCTGCATCCGCTCCCGGATCTGGTGAGTGAGGTTTTCAATCAGGGCAAATACCTGATCACAGACTTTCACAGGGTTCTGAATGATACTCATGGAGTTAAGCAGGGAAGTGCTTCCTGTGGGAGCCAACTGTGGGGAACAGAGAGAAGAAAAGCAAGATAGGGTTGGTGCCAGTTGCCAGATTCCTGTGAGTTTATTAAAAAGAGACTGGCTGTACTTCAGGCTAACTTCAAGGAGTACTCTTAGGTTACTGGACATAGAAGTACTTTTAGGGCCTTCAGATGACCGTTCTAGCAGAGTCAACAAAAGGAGCCAATTTTAAACTTCCTGGAGTTCAAAGAAAATAAAATATACCTAAGTTCTTTTCTTGGAGACTCTAAAATACACATGGAAAATGCTGGGGAGCAAAGATTAAACCTCAAATCCTTCAAAATCTCTGCAGGACATTTTCATGACTAGATACTAGAGACATCTTTCATGGACCGAGAGTAAAGTATCACCTCGGTCCTGGGTTCCAACTCATGCTTTGAGGACAGTCACATAAGGAATGGGGAAGGAGAAAGAAGACTGTAGGTAAAATGTATAATGCTACTCAAAGCCTCACACATTTCATTCTTGTTAGCAAAAGGGAACAAAGTAGAAAGGAAAAGTTACTCTAGATTTTTTGATTTAACACTGAACAATGGACTAGAAAACAGGACAGCAAGATTCTGCTCCTCATCAGGTCCTGCTCAGAGGGGAACACAGCAAATGCAGGCAACATGCTCAGCTGCTGGGCTCATTTAAGGACCTGTTAGAAATAATTACACAACAACGTAAATGTACTTAATGCCAGTGAACTGTACACCTAAAAACAGTCTAAGTTGTAGTCCAATTTGAAAAGATAATAGCCAGCTATGGTGATTCATGATGGTAGTCCCAGCTACGTGGCCACCTGAACCCAGGAGTTAGAGGTCAACCAGGACCATATAGTGAGACCCAATCTCAAAATAATATTTTTTTTTAAAACAACCTATTAGAAAGGAGGAGTGGGGCTGGAGAAAACCACTGCCTGGTTGGGGGTAGCCCGGGTTCCCAGAACACAGGACGAGCCCTCTGCACAGCAGCACCCATGAGGACTAATGCTGAGACTCTGGGTTCTGTGGCGGTTACCAGCCTGGGCTCTGTTTGGAGTTAGAAGGTAGGGCTCACACTAGCTATTTATCTTAGAAAAGTTGCTTAAATTTTTTATAGTCTAGGTTTCCTCCTTTGAAGAACAGGAGAAAGGTAGTACAGTTCTAACAGCCCTTGTGGTGGATTAAAGATAGCCATTAATTCTTTGTTTTCTCCCTTCCCTTGAATCTAGGCTGGCCCCATAACTGCTTAACCAATAAAAAACAATGAACTTATATTGTGCTAATTCTGGGCCTATGCTTTAAGAAAGCCAAAAGCTCCTGCTTTTGGGAAGCCCTAAGCTACCACATATTAAAGTCCATGAGGAATCAGATGAAGAAAATGTGAAGAGGACAGGCCTGAGCAGGCACAGAGCACAAAGGAGGAGCAAGCTGGCTGTCCCAGAACCCCAGCACAGCCTCCAGATAGCTCCAGCCAGTCCACATCTGGTCTCAAGAGAGACCCCAAGCAAGACTAGTTGAGCCCAGAACTGCAAGAGAGGATAAAATGGTCATTTTTAGTTACTGATTTTGGGGATCATTTTTTACATCAATTGCTGAAACATTCTTCTATTTGCATTGGGATCAGTTGTGTTTTGGAATTGAGAATTTTTTGGACATATGAAGTTAAAACAGTCCACAAGCCATACATCATATGATACCTCCAGTATGGCCTAGGGCATAGCCAAACATTTATACTTTGGCAGGAAAATGTATGGCTATTTACAGTGAGTGAGAAAAATAAGGCATAAAGTCTTATGATGGCACATGTTAGGTCCAACTGCCAAATGAGTCTTGATGCCAAAACTATAGTCTTTTTAATTTTTGAAATTGTAGACATGTACTTATCGCAAAGGGATGCTGTGAGAATTAAATGAGACAACATGTGTGAGACATCTGAAACGGTGCCTCTGCCAGAGATTTAGCTTAGTGGTGCTGCACCTGCCTCAATCGCAAGGATCTAAGTTCAAATCCCTGGTACCAGAAAACTAAATAAATAAAAATAAAATAAAACAGTGGCCAGTAAATTATTTAGAGGAAGGGGGTGCAAAGATAGGGAGAAGCTGACCTGGTCGTAGTCCTCGGGGCCAAAGGGTGCATCCTGCTGTAGAATGTGATGGAGCCTGGCCTTCACCCGGTGCTGGCAGCTGCTCAGGGACTCCCCGTCACTGTCCAGGAGCCCGTTCATGTTGGCACTCTTCACCATTTGTACCAAAATGGGTGTCAGCTCCCCTTCTAGAGCCAGCAGGCCCTGGAAGGGAAGTCCAAGGCAGATTAGTTTCTCCTCCAGGACAGTCTTTTTAGGCCTTGCTGGTGCCAGAGTCATGAGGGCTGGCTTGAAGAGCTGGGGTTTGGGTCAGGGGCCCATTCCCACCAACCCTTCTCAGCTCCTCACTAAGAGCTGAGGACAGGGTCAGACACAAGTAGAAACTTCTCTGAGTTGCCATACAAACACCCTGACATTTCCCAACTAGTCGTCCAAACAGAAGCTGGGACTGTGGAAGAACTACAGTACAGTACCTTGGCAAAGGCAGCAGCCGTCATCTGGACACGGCCCTCATCAGAGGCGTAGATCTTGAGGTCATGGCGGAAAGTGCTGTGAAGGCGAAGCAGCCCACAACCAGGAAAGCCAGCATAGTCGCCTGAGACAAAGGGGGCCCCAAGAAGAGCCTGCTATGTTCTTTCCTCTACCTTCCTCACTGCCTCTGCCCTCCACTTCCCCTGGCTTGTGCTATATTCATCTTACCCCAGCCCTGGCAGGCTCTCCACCCCTCCCCCAGACACTCACCCTGCCCTCCAGGGTACATGCAGCGAAAGGCCCGGCCCAGCTCCTCAGCCTGCACTCGGCCATCAGGAGTCAGCTCTCCACCCCACTTCAGCACCAGCAACAGGGACGGGGCGAGAGCCACCCTCTGCAGACCTGAGGGAAGATGGGGAGTGACTAGGCCCACATCTAAGGAAAATGCCAGAATGTCCATAAAAGTAATTTCAGGCAGAGACCATCGTAAGAGATCTGAGTGGGTAATGGAGAAAGCAATGACATTTTACCTTGCCCCTCATTAGAAGCTTTCACTCCATGAGGGTAGTAAGTCAGCTGCACCTTCCGGTTGATACCTGAGAAGTGGCCGTACCTGCAGGATAAAAGCCACAGTCTTCTTTAGCCCCCAGGACCCCAGCGCTCCCTGTTATTGGCTCCCTTTTGCTACCCCCTTTCTTACATCTCCAACACAGATTTCAGCTGCTCTAGCTTCCCAGTCTTCTCCTCGATCTCACCACTTGGCTCTTTCTCCAGTTCAGCCAACAACAGCCGTGTAATGTCCAGTACCTCCTGGAGGAGTTAACAGGGTATTCACACAGGAGGCCAGGTCCTGGCCAGTTACTCTTCCATTCCATCACTAGCCAAGGCTACGCCCTCTTCCTTCCCCACAGCAGTACTCCCCCTGCTCAGAGCTCCCACCTTACCTGGAGCTGCTCAGGTCGCTTGAGTTTTAATTTCCCAGTCTTGCATCCACCGTGTTTTTCAAATAGTGTGAAAAACCTGAAGTCAGGAGAAGCACCGAGACTACCATAGCTTCTCAGAGCTGTTTCCCACACACTCTCCCTCGTGAAGACCAAGTAAGGACATGCTTCCTACCTGGGATGTGTCACCTCCATCTTCATCTTCTGCTTGGGGGTGCGATCCCCATGACGGATAATTGCAATGACACAGCGCAGTTCCATCCTAAGATCAGGAATGCTCTCAGTGTCTCTCTCACCTCAATCTCACCTCACCATCCATCCTCATACCCCAGTGGACATATCTCAGAAGATGGGACCAGGGACCCGAGACTAGGGATAAAGGTGGAGTTCAGGGAACTTCCTAAAAGACGCCCAGTCCCCACTGGTTCATTCTGCGTAGGGTTACAAAGAAACCATTGGCTGCATGAAGTAATCTCAAGTGTCTCATATAGGTTACTCAAGATTTTTTACTTTTGCTTACATAGTGCCAGATGTGGTAGGGACAATGGGAATATCTTCTGCTTCTGTGGGGATGGACCATGGAATCTGGAACTGGGGAGCAAGCTCTCGCATGATGGTGTTCCTAGAAGGAGAAGGAAGAGAAAGTTCTGTGAAGATGAGTGAACCAGAGCTACACAGATGAATACAGCTCACAAAGACAAGCATGCTGCAGAAGAATGACTCAAACAAAGTCTAGAACTATGCAAACAAATACTATCATATACGTGGTAGAAAAACAGATAAATGCCTGGGAGTGATAAGCCCAGTTAAAGATTGTGGTTTCCTCTGGGTGTGACAGAGAAGTGACCGGGGAGGAGTAGACAGGGGCTTTGACTATATTCATACTTCTTCCTTGAGCTAACTAGGACTTGGCCACTGTTATATTTACAGATGCTCACCATATCTATCATTCCTTTGAATGGTTTAAACATTACATGATGGATGGTTTGGGTTTTTTTTCATGATTTTTTTTAATGTCAAGTTGCAGAACAGTATCTCAGTATCATCACATTTAGTGAAAGTTTATTTACCCAGGGCAGAAAAGACAATCTGTTACATCTAAAACTGTTACTAGTAGGGCCGGGGATTTAGCTCAGTGGTTTCGCTGCCTGCTGTGCAAGCGCAAGGACCCAAGTTCGATCCCCGGTACCAAAAAAAAAAAAAAAAATTAAAACTGTTACTAGTAACCATATCTGAGGAGTGTAGTGTTGAAGAGACAAAGGGGGTGAGAAACCCTTTTACTTTTAAATTATTTTTATAATATTGAAGATAAAGCAAAAGCTTTTTAAAATTTTAATTACTTTTATTGGGTTTTTTTGAAGCAAAACATTTATTGGTACATTTTAGATATAATGATCACATTCATCACAGAGAGCTTGTACCTGTACACAATGTACCTTAATTCTTTTTTTTTTTGGCACTGGGGATTGAACTCGGGTCCTTGCACTTGCGCGGCAGGTGGTGATTAATTCTTTTTTTTCTCATTGCTCTTCCCTCCCCTCCCTTCAATCCTTCTTCCACTCCTTTGTTTCCATTTTTTTCCTTCTATTCTTTTTTTTTTTCTCTATTCTCTTTTGACTCCCCTCTCTAAGCGGACTCTCACCACCCCAGATCATTATGTCTCTTACCCCAGAATCTTGGCACAGTCATCGTAGTATTTCATTGAATTCTTGACAAAACTGAAGCCATTGACATCACACACAAAGGAGTGACCATTGGCCCGAAGAAGGTCAAAGCCACAAACTGTTTGCTGGAGCCAAAATAGACAAGATGAGAAAAGAGAACCACTCTTTCTTTGCAGACCCCTGCTCCCATCTCTGTCTCGCATTCCACAATCCCATGCACTCTCTACTACCTTGAAAGCTACGCAGACTTTCCTGGCCACCAACTTTTCCATGGCAGTCAGCATGACTGGGTATCGAACCTCTTTCCCCTCACTGTCTCGTTCCACCTTCCCATCCAAAGCTGGAGATTTCCTAGCTTCAGCATGGGCATAATCTGGCCCCACTGTGTACACCTGCAGGTACATAGCATCACTGAGTATGCCCAGAGCTCACCCTGTGTATGAGAAAACAGTATGAGGACTAGGTCTGCAGGCTAGTTTCAGAGTAAAAAACCAAAGAAACCGTGACCATCAAGAATAAGCAGACTGATTTTATCACTGAGCTCGACGGCAGTAGGAACATGAAGGCTTCCCCCGGGACTGTGACACTCCACCTGACCCTTAATAAAACGATTCACCCACACCACACCATCCCCAAGCACCCTTGCCATTGCTCTCACAGTGAAAATGAGCCTCTCTATTCCCCAATCCTTGTCATCAGCTGAACATGAACCAAACTGACTCACACTGTCTCTTCTTTTTTGTTTGTTTGTCTGTTTAGTACTGGGGACTGAACTCAGGACCCTGAGCTGACCAGGCCGGTGTGGCACCACTGAGCTACAGGAGGATTGCCGGGCGTTCGAGGCCAGCCTGGGCTACACAGGGAGACCCTGTCCCTCAAAAAAACCAAAAAATCCCCGTGCCCAACAGAACCTTGACATCTGTGCCGTCTGTTGGCATGAACTCCTCATAGATGTATGACCCTGTCTTCCGGACGCTGCTCTCGGGAGAATAAACGCTGCTTCGGCTGCCGATCTTCGGGAAGGGAAGGGAGAACAGCGGCGTCAGCCTAGCGCCGCGCCCCGCCCGGTCCCCAGCGCTCCGCTCGGCCGGCCGGCCGGCTCCCCACCTTCCGGAAGAGGCGCTGGCTCCCTCCTCCGGCCGAGCTGGGGTAGTAGATGTAGACGTTGTGGTCCTCGGCGCTCACTGGCTTCTCCACGAAGGGCTTGGGGAAGACGGCACCGTTGACCTCGACCTGGTCTTCACCTTCTATCAGGCTGCACTCTGGAAAGTGGGTGCGGGGGTCCCTCTCAGGGCCGAAGATTGCAGAGCAGTCACCCCGATTCCCTCTTTGCTGCAATGTCAATCTCTACAACCCTCAAATCCCTACGGCTGCCTCTTAGGAACAGACACAGAAGCATCTATATATGGTAGGCAGATATGATAATACCTGCATAACAGGCTCTGTCCAGAAAGACTGGACTCACACTCTGCCCTAACCCGATGCCCAAGCCCCACAGTATAGGTGGTATACAAGCGAGGCCTAGGGGACAGAAAGTGAGCTAAGTCATCAAGCGCAAGGCAGGAAAACCATGGGCAGGAATAGATACTCACCCTCGGGCCGGGCAGGGTCACGGTTGAGCACGGCATACCGAGGCAGATCAATACCTTCCTCCTGCAGGATCCGGTACACCTCCCTCCTGTCACCCCCAAATAAGTTAGCTGGGAGTGGTAGGGGGTGGGTAACTAAGGGGAGAGGCCAGGGGTTTCACTTGCACAGGGACTGGAAGACACTGAGGCACAGAACTCCACAGGGAATGGAACAAAAATGAGGTGTGTTTGGCTCTACCCTCTCCAAGCATGTGTTCCCTAAGTGGGCATGATTTCAGGGTCATCATCCCATGGCTTCACAGAAAGCTATACCTGTCTTGGATGTAATACTGCATGGCCAGATCATTGATAAGAAAGGGGTTTCGAAGCTTGGAGTAAGCAACAGCCTTGTCCAGAGGAAAGCCTGGGATGGAGAAAGAAAATAGGAAGCAAAGAAAGAAAGCAAAAGAGATGGGGTGAGAAGAGAGCAGACACAGGGAAACATTTAAAAGCTAATAGCTGCCACTGAGCTCCTCTACCCATTCAACCCACATCACTTCTTCTCCCCAGCTTCTAAGTCTAAGGATATTTAGCAGGAAAAACATTTTTAAATTTAGGGTCCTTCCAGAGATCCAATGCTGTTAGAAAGCCCAAGGGCCTTAGAGCTACCCTGGAGACAAAACATGGGTCTAAGCTCCAGCCAGCCACTCCTCCAAGATATAGGGAAAGCAAACCCCTTGGCATTGTTCCCTATTGTGCTGGAGGAGCTGATGGCCTCTTTACTAACAAGACGGTAAGAAGCTCATCCTCAGCTCAGCATTTCCCCACCATCTTTCCACTTCTCCTTTCCAGACCCCAACCTTTGGAGTGGAAAGAGATGAGGCAGTGGCAGGACGGCCAGTTCTCCACAGGTTCATTGAGGATCACATCTTCTCCCAGGATGATCACAGTCAGGTAGTCAAATCTGCAGAGTCGCTCTAGGATTTGGGTCATTGGCTTAGACTTGGATTTCTTAGTCATGGCACAGATGCCAACAATGATTTGAGGTTCAGGAGGCTGTAGGAGAAAGCACTATCAGGAGTGCAGAACTGCTCACTTAGATCACTCCAAGGGAAGGAAACACTGCCTCATCTCCCCAGGGCAGTCTCCCGTCAGGACTGTGAATCTGCAGGTCAAAGGTGCCGACCTTTGGTCCAGGCTAGGGCATACCTGGGGATCACTGCCTACAGAATAAGAGCCTTCCCACTGCAGGACAGCCAGAGAGCCAGAGACCAGGAGACCACAGGGGGAGGCCTAAGGATGAGCGCTGAGGAGAGGCAGCCAAGCCCCCCCCCCAGTCTGGGACAGGGCCTAGTCAGGGTAGGGTCTCTGGGCATCTAAAGAGACGTCTTGGTCCAGCAGAATCACATCTCTCTATGGCAGGAGACCCAACACCAAGTCACACCATCTTCCCACGCTCACCACTTCATCCTCCTCGTCCTCAAGGAGCTCACTGTCACGCTCTTCTGTCCTCATGCCTGTGCCGCGGGTGCCCAGCCCCGCATCTCCAGCTCCAAGGAAGAAGTGGGCCGTGGTGCTCTCGTCCTCACTGGCCGGCAACGACCACATTCCCACCGGAACGCCCACTCATCCCGCTCTGCAGAGGTGGGCACCCCATCAGCTCAGAGTCCAAACCCCTCGGCAGTGGATGGGAATAGGATATGGAGAGCTAGAAAATAAAGAGGGAACTACAAGGGTACAAGGGGAAACAAGAAACAATGCTATAGGAAGGATGATCAACAAGAAAGGAGGCCATGGACTATGATTTGAAATGATGTCAGAGCCATGAAAGGAAAGGAAGGTCTTTTTTTTCTTTCCTACTCACTCCACCCCAACCCAGACATCAGTAAGAAGATTGGGATGGGAAGCCTTACGGTGCTGGCATGTCCCTGATTCTGCCAGCAGGAAATGTTAACTCCAGGCAGCAATGGGAGAGGCAGTTCTTCAAGGAAGACTACTGTTGACTCCTGCCAGAAGAGAAGATTAGAGTGACACTTCAAATTCTGGGTTCATTTGCAATGCTCTTAGCCCTTCTCCACCTCCCCACAGCAGTGATGAACTAAAGATTTAACTCAAGAGCAGATGAGAGACAACTCAGTTGCCTCGGTCCTTAAAGTCCATCTCCATTCCTACCAAGGATTAGTTAAAAAACATTCCTTGAGGGAACCCTCCTTCCTGAGCATTACATCAGACTATGACAGTCCTCTGTGCTTCCAGCTCAGGGAAAGAAGCTTAGTGCTAATCAGATTGCTGATGATGCAAGCATCTCCACAGCTGACTCTAGTTGATTCTCAAACTGAAACCACATGGGCCAGGGATGCAGCTCAGCAGCACCGCACCTGCCTGGTAAGCGCAAGGTCCTGAGTTCGATTCCCAGTATGGGGGGGTGCTGAACCCACAAGCCAGGTGTGGTGGCCCACGCTTATAATCCTGGCTCTTGGGAGACTAAAGCAGGAGGATCACTGTGAGTTGAGGCCAGCCTGGGCTATATAGTGAGTTCAAGGCCCCCTGAACTACATGGACAGACCCTGTCTCAAAAAACAAAAACAACAGTGTAAACAGAAACCACAGTGTTCTATCCACCATCCCAATACTACAAAACCAGTGTTGGCCTAGGGCAAAGTCTTTCATACCAGGAGCTACAGTGAGAAAACAAAAAAATCCTGCCTAAAGCCACATCAGTAGGACCATCCTAAAACTATAACAAGTCAGACCAAGCTAGCAGTTTCACTTGCGCATACATACACCCAGAGATGTAGTTCTCAATCAGCTGTGATTTTCCTGTACAGAAAACATCTGACAGAGACACTTTTGTCTTAGTTGGGATGTTGCTACAGGCATCTAATAAGTGGAGGGCAAGGGAGTTGTTAAACATTACTGAAAGTATATGATGTTCCCACGACAAAGATGTCAGTATGTCCAAAATGTCAATAGTGCCAAAGTAGAGACATCTTGCTGTACAGAAATGCTTCTCTGTAAGAATACATGTGCAATGCAGTTCTTCACCTTCCTAACCTCATGGCTGCTCATGGAAAAACTGCAAACAATTCAGATGCCATAAACAGAAGAATGGATAAATACAATGCAGTATATGAAATAACAGACTAATAGTAACTTTAAAAATGAATCAGAGCTACATGTAATGGACAGCTTCCAAATGCAAACCAGAGATACACACAGACTACAACTCTACTTGTATAAACAATATTACACATTTTATGACTGCATATATAGTTAGAAGTATAAAAACATAAAGTGGGAAGAAAGGCAACAAATTTATGATATAAACTGGGCCTGGTGGCACATGCCTGTAATCCCAGCACTCTGGGAGGCTGGAGCAAGAGAATGGCAAGTTTGAGCCAAGCCTATGAAATTTTGCAAGTTAGCAAGACCCTGTCTCAAAATAAAGAGTTGGGAATGTAGCCCAGTACAAAGGCCCTGGTTTAATTACCAGTAATACACACACACACACACACACACACACACATGATAGCGGCTACCTTTGAGGAAAAAAGATGAATGGAAGAAAGATTCATGTGGTACTTCACAGCCTTACCTATCGTGTTTATTTCGATTTTTAAATAGAACTGAAGCAAACAGACAAAAGGCTAACATATGTTAATAGTGAAGTGTAGGAACATGAGCACCCGTTACTATTTTCCAAAAATAAAACTGAGCCATATATCAGCAACTTCCCATCCTCTCCAAAAGTTCTCGGAAACAATGATGGACGACTCTAATAAAAGCCACAAACTCCTTAAGTAAATAAATTAATTTAGTCTTCTAGGCTTTTAAAATAAACTAATAATCACTTTCCCTAGTTTCATTTTAAACTCTCCCATTACAACTGGGGTTTGCCGCTCTGGTTAGAATGTTACAGGTGACCTTTACACAGGCCTCTTCTTTTCCACTCTTCAGCCTCTCCTATCTCGGTTGCTCAACCACCACAGCCAGTTGTCCTCCGTGGTCTCACACAGGCTATTTCTTTGAACTTCTTCTCGGGTGACTTGACTCAATTTCCATGACTTGTGGCATTCCCAAGGTTCCTGCACAGTTTCAGCAATCACAATTTTGTTGCACTCTGACAAAGGAGCTTTTTCTCATGTCTAATACTCCTAACCGTTTTCCCTTTATTCCTTTATTTCTTCCTGAAAGTAGTCATGCTATTGAAATTCTACCGCAACTCTGTAATGGGGGTGGGGGGGGAGTGGTAAATAATAGGATAGGGAAGAAGAGTCTGTTCACAAATACGGGCTAAAGAGAGATGAAAGGCCAAATCCACAGTTAACAAAGCAAAAATAGAAGTCTGACAGAAACAGCTATGAATAAGCCAAGACTTATTTATATGTACCTCTGGGAGAAGCTAGATTTTAACGTGGCGTTCCCGAAACCACGTCTGTTCCCTATGCTCTTTCCCCATCCTCCTCCTCCCCTAGTTGCAAAAGCAAACCTCAGCCTCTACCCTGGGCTGCAGGGCAGCTTGTACAGTGAGCAGGGAAAGACAGGCAGGTGGGCGATCTCCCCAAGAACACCCGCGTCAGACCGGCTCTCCAGAAGGGCCGAGGGAAAGGGGCCGCGCAACTCCTTCGTCCTCCGCAATTCAGGGCTGTTTGTGTAGTCCTACAATTTCTTAAATCTCCTTGCGGTCGATGGCAGGTTCGTCACCGGTGAAGGAGTACTTCCAACACAGAAAATCTCCTCAGGCTGCCGACACTCTTCCCTTCAAGCGGCGGCTCCAGGTCTTCCTGAAGGGCACTTTCAGCCTCCGCACTCACGTCTTCTTCAGCCGCAGCTCAACAGCTCCGCCTCTCTCCCCCAGGGGCTCCAAGGCCCCTTCCCCGACCCCGGCCACCCCCTACCCCCCACCCCGGGACCGGTCCGCCAAGCAGCTAACCCAGCCGACCTCTGTCCGCGGCGCCCGGGACTCAAGCGGCCTTCAGCGCGCGCGGGCGCCCCACACTCCGTGACACCTTCCCGCCGAGCCCGGGCCCGCAGAGCGCGCGCGGGCGGCCCTCTCCGAGGCCCTTGGCGGGCGCTGCAGCCCCGCGCCGACCCCCGGGACCACGCCGCCTGCCCCGCGACTCGTGCGCGGGTGAAGCCCTCCATCCCGCCACCTGAGCTCGCCCCTCCCCGCCGCCCCGGCCCCGCGGCCCGCGCCGAGCCCACCCCGATACCGCCCCCAGCCCAGCCACTCCCCCGCGCCCCCGGCCCGCACTCACCCGCCTCCCTCCGCCGCGCAGCCGAACCTGCCGGCAGGGACGCCTGACAGCGACCCAATCGGAGCGCGACTTCTTTGCAGTGTCACCAATCAGCGAAGGGGGAGCACCGGCGGCAGGGTCAGGTTGCGTTGGCCGGCGCTTCGCGCGGACGAGGGTAGCCCCCAGTGGCGCTGGCGGGGAGTACAGCTGATGCCCCTCGGCCTTGAGTTTGTGAGTTCGTCTCCACAGTCCCAGTCCAGGCGCTTGGGCTCGGGTGGAGACCTTCTGTGGGACCGGGACGCGGGCTTGGGAGCGAAATCCGGGGGGAAGAGGCAGAGTTTGCGCCTTTGCACTTCCTTGAGGGCAAAACCGGCTCTTTTGTAAGATAAAATGTGGTACATATAGGTAAAGAGCCAGTAATATAGGCTGAAAATGTAAGATGTAAAGAGGAGTGACAGGCAATAAAAAAAAGAAGAGAGGGAGAGAGAGAAGCAGATGAGAAAATTAAAGGAAGAGACAGAGAGACTTAATTATGAAGCATCCAAGAAAATGGGTGACCATGGAAGACTGGACACGTTGGAACTTCGGAGCTGGGTTCGAATTCTAGCCTTATCTTTAACAGCTGTGCATCTTTGGGCTAGTTACTTACCTTCCCGGACCCTCCATTTTTTCTAATCGGTGGTAGTGGGATTAAACCCTTATTTGTATAGAGTTGATTATGTGAAAGCCGTCTGTTGATGTTTGCATTGTTCCTATTGTCAAACTTGCAGCTTCCCCTGGGTTTCCTGGGTCAGGACAGCCAAGTTCCTGGGGTCTTCTCTGCAGCCTTAGGAATCTTGGCACTCTCTCAACCAGGTGTCTTCTGGTACTGACCCCCAAGGCCTCCTGATCAGAGAAAGATGATTCTAAAGACTGCCTCCACCTCTCAAGTCCTTCAAACACTGTTATAGCCTCTCCCAGGTATTTACCTATTACTGCATGTATTGATCTCCTGGTTCCCAGGCATCAGGGAATGAAGTCAGGAACCGGAGAGAAGGTTAGGGGAGTTTTATTGGGAATAGGAAAAGTAACTCTGGATTTCCAGGAAAATCCCAGGTGGGTGGTTCATGGCCCCTCCATTCCAGAGCTAATTATAGATGAACAGAGCACAGGAATTGCTCAGTTGTTTTGTGGCGACCTATCACAGGTGACTCTGTGGATTTAAAATGACCCATTGGATCTCAGGCTTCTAACTCAGTTCTTCAACATACAGAGTTAAAAGGAATCTGGTTTGTTTGTTTTTTGAGACAAGGTCTCACTATGTAGTTCAGGCTGGCCTTGAACTCACTATGTGGTCCAGGCTGGCCTCAAACACACAGTCATCCTCCTGCCTCAGCCTCCAAAGTACTGAGATTACAGGTGTACAGCACCACACTTGGTTTGGAATCTGGGATTTTAAAGGGAAAAAACTGCTTATTTTGCACTTTAATTTTCTCAGAGTTCAGGAGCTAAGGATGTGGTCTGCATCTCATGTGTCTGAGGAAGCTCATCCTTGGTCCAAAGTCCTAGTTTACCATCTATTCTTTTTTAATTCTTATCAATGTAGTAGGGCATGGTGGCGAATGCCTGTACTTGGGAAGCACTTGGGAAGCTAAGGCAGGAGGATCACTGTGAGTCTGAGGCCAGCTTTGGCTACATAGTGAGTTCAAGGCCAGCCCGAATTACAAAATGAGCCCCTGTCTCAAAAAAAGCAAAACAAAAAAATTCTTATCGATGTGGCTGGCCACCCAACTCTACCTTAAGCCCCTCCCCTATTAGCTGCCTCACTCATAAGCTAAGTAAACTATTTTCTACACTGGGTTCAATCTCCAGAACCACCAAAAGAAGAAAAAAGGTATACAAATATATGTGTCTTCTCAGCAGAGCTGTTATGCCGATTTGGGCAGCTACTCTCCAAACTTGAGTAATTTTCTACATCTTCTAGATGTCTTTTTTCTCTTTCTCTTCTTAATTCCCTCATCCCACTCCCTATGTTCTTGTCACCCTATCAGTCAAATAACAACCCTGCTGCTCTGGAAGATGACCTCCCCCTTTTTTCTGGGTAAATATACATAATTCCAAGGACTGGTAGTTATATTTACTTACTCATAGCTACTCCTTAACCTAGGTAATGAGCACCTGCAGCACAGGTAATATTTTCTATCCCTCCCAGAGTAATCACACTCCAACTGCAGAGCTCAACCTGTTCCCTGATATTTGCTGTTTTACCAGGAGAAGGAGTTAAGAGAGGTGGTTAGCCTTTAAGGGTACCCACAGACAAGGGAGGCAGGAAAGAAAGGCATAAGGGAGGTGAGATGAGTCATCAGTGAGGTCAGAGGCCAATGTGAAGGGAACTTCTCTTCCTCAAATACTGACTCTTAAACTCCCAGGAGTCTCACTGTCTGAGACAGGGTTTCACTATGTAGTTCAGGCCGGCCTTAAATTCTCTAGGTAACCCAGGCTGGCTTCGAACTTGTGGCAAACCTCCTGCCTCGGTCTCCCAAGCACTGGGATCACAGACTTGAGCTACCATACCTGGCTCAAGCATCTCACTGTCTTGTGGGCATACCATCAGGAGGAGAAGGGAGGGACTCAGAGTCTACTCACCTTAATTGACCCTCCACACTGAAACCAAACATCCCCCCTTTTTTTGTTGCCAGCATCAGATTTATTTTTGTATTTATTTTAAAGTCTTTGTCAAGTTAATTATAACAAACATCCATTCATTCTCCCTCCTGCCAGGCCATGCCACAGCCAAGTCCCAGTGTGGAAACAAAGCCCTCCCGGATCTGAATGTGCACCGGCTTTATGCGGGGGGAGGCAGAGATTCTCTGATGGCCTGATGCCCTAGGACACCAGTCTTCTTTGCACTCTGGATTACAGAGCTTTAGGGGGCTGGGAGAGGAACACAGGTGGGGCCTGGAGGCCTGTGCCTGCCTGTTCCTTTCCACGCCCAGTCCTGTCACCACACCCTTCTCCTCTCCTCCCTTTCTGTTCCCCGGCAGCCCAGGAACTGTGTACGGAGCCGGAGCGCCGGAGCTGAGGAGAAGGACAAGGAGGAGCAAGCTAACGAGTCCAGCTCAACCCCAGCTTCACACCCCGTGCACCCAGCAGGTAGGCAGGCAAGCTTCACAGACTGGCGGAGGGAAGCCTGTGAGTGCGGAGAGGTCTGAGTTGGCAAAGAGAAAGCAAAGGGTCAAAGGTGGGGAAGGGGACCGGGAGAAGTGTGGGGGAAGTGGGTAGGGGCCTGGAGGAGGCGGTAGGAAGTAGCAGGGCCCAGAGCTGAGGGGAGTAGGGAGGGAGACGCGGCAGGGACGGGATCTGACTGGGTATTTCCTGATTGCTCTCAGGGAATTTCTTCTCAGCCTTGTTGGGAAAGCACAAGTGAGGCCTGTGGCTGGGAGGGGCCTTGGTGCTCTTCCTGGTCCTCAGGAAAAGGTGACCTTGAGCCCGAGGGTGGCTTTCCCAGCGGGGCTCGAACCCTGTGCCTTCTCTGCGTCTTTATTCCGCAGTTTCCTCGCCGCCGCCTCCCCCGGGAAGATGGGGAAGTCGACAGCAGAGGGATTGGGCAGTCGCCCTCTCACGCTCACAAAATAGAAGGCTCTCGGGGATTTCGGGTTGGGACGAGGGGCTGGGGGGGGTGTTCTGGCGCGCCAGCCCCGTGGTGCTGTCCTTCGCTCGGTGCTGAAATCCGGGCTCTGTGTCCCAGGGGGTCTCGCACCCTGTGGCGGGGAGGGAGCCGCGTCCCCTAGGCACCTGCCCGCTGCTGCCGCCCACGCCAGGCCCGGCCCGCATCCCACACGCGGTGGAGGGCGGGGCCTGGAGCCCCACCCCCGGGCGCTGCGTCTCGGCCGTCTCGGCCTGCTCCCGCCAGCCCCAGCCGCTGCGCCTCTCCTGCACCCCGGCCCCAGCTCCGCCCCGGTCCCCGTCGGCCCTACTGCATCCTCCCTCCTGACCGTCTCACCAGGTCCTGCTCCCGGGAGCCATGGCCGGTGTCTTCTCCCGTCTGCCGTCCGCCCGCCCGGGGCTCAGGCTCCTGGCTCTGGCCGGAGCTGGGTCTCTCGCCGCTGGCCTTCTGCTCTTCCCGGAACCCGTGCGAGCAACGGGCGAGCGCCGGAGGCTGTATCCTCCAAGGTATCAGGGCCCAGGCAGTGTGAGGAGGTGGTGTGAGGGGGCAGAACGAGGGCGCAGAGAGGGGCGTCTGTGCCACAGACGAGGGGTCTGACTGCGGAGGTCCTGAAGTTGGGAGACTTCAGGAGGTGGGAATAGGCCCCAACCCCCAAATAAGAGCATTTCTGGGGACCTGCAGCCCACCATCACCGAGACCACCTTTGACCCTAGGAATTCTAGTTGCGCCTGCTACTCAATCCATAGTCCGAAAGCCAGGGACTGTCCTCCTGTTGGCCTCCATCTCCTTTTCCTGCTGTTCTCCCCTATTTCTTGGATTCTTCTTAGTCTTTCCCCTCCCCCATCCCTAATGTGTTCAAGGGAGGAAAGAACTGTGTGTGTCTGGGGGAACTGAGTCAGCCAGCTAGAACTGTTGAGAAAGAACAGACCCTGAAAGTCCTTGAAGAGATGATGAAGGCTAAGCCTAGCTCTAATTCCCCTCCTCCCACGGAGTCAGACCTGG